TGCATTAAAATGTTCCAAATTTTTAATTCCTCCATCTAAAGCTTTGGGATCATATTCAAAGCTATAACACAATTGCAGTTTATTTGATATGGCTTCTTCACTTTGGTGTTTCTTATTTACTTACTTTTGAAAAAATAAGGCAAGAAGCACAGCTTGAGGATTCTTTAAGTTATCTTTAATCTCATAGTAACAGTTCAATTTATCACAAAGAGAACCTAAATTATTGTAGGTACGTTTTTCCTCTGAATAAGCCTCCTGTAATTTTGCCAACCATGTATCACAGACATCACTGTCTAAACCTTCAGTTGCTTCCTTCCAACTTTCTTCTGTTGATGCCATTTCTATCTGAAATTATGTTAGGATTCTGTAGATTTCCTTCACATTATTTTCACCCAAAAATTTATCTACTCGTTTAAATTGATAATTACAAATAACGTGTACAATTTGTTATTTTAAAAAAAGTAGAAAATTTTCATGCATAACTAATTTTCTGGATAAGAACAATTTTTCTTTTGTAGAAACGAGAGAAAATTATTCTCATTAATTTCACATACTCACATTATATTAAATTAGTCAAACAATATGATAGTTTAACTTAGAGATGAAAAGCAAGAAACTGTGCTATGTTGAAATTCTGATTACCGAAACATATTGCGTCGCTGCGTGTGCTCACTGACTGAGTGGATTCTACTTGATAAAATAAAGTCCGCTTCCACTTATTGATCGGATTGTGTTCGCGTTTTATCAACGAAATAGAGCGCGATTTTTAATTAACATTATTTCCATAAACTGGAGCAATCGCTTTTCGTAAAATTTTTAATCGATTTAAAACCGATAGAAGCGCAGAGATTCAAATATAAAACACAGTTTAATCATTTATTCATAAAAAAACATTTACATACATTCAATTGTATCAAATTTGGGGCTGGTTGGTAACCCTTGTTGAGAATTTTGGACTTCACCGTTATAACGTGTATATATTCTTGCGAAATAGTCAAAATTATGTAACAGTAATGCCCTTATTTTTTACTATTGGATGCGTCGATTATTTGTTCATACGATTTTGAAAATGTAGTAAGAACATGTCGTAATGGCTAGTTCTATTTATCTTAAAATTTTGCCGCCATCGCGAAGGGATGAGATAAGTTTGCCGCGTTTGTCTTGTAAAACATGAGAATTTTTTATATAATTAAAAACAATGTAGAAAGATACTTTGCTATCACAGTAAATGAAAGAATAATTTAGAAATATAAATTGTAACATTTCTCTCGTAAGAAAATGAGGATTGAAAAAGATATTAAAAAAATTATATTTAAAAATTATTGAAATCAGTAATTATAACAAACATGAGAGGTACAGTTATGAATCCAAAATATATATTTTAATACAATGTAATAGTGAATCATTTAAATTGACAATATTTTTTAAGTACATACATTTCCTTTTCTTCAGTTACAGAAAAGGAAGTGAATAAAAATATTATTGTATTATTATATATTATTTTCATTGGACCTTTGTCGATTGCACTGTTCTTGTATGGCTTCTTTCCTTTGGTAAATTATGATAATACTAAAGCAACACAAGATAATGTACCAAAATTTATAGAAAATGTGAGGTGAGTTGAGTAATTCTGTGAAAGAAAAATGTATAGGTGAATGAGAGAATGGTCGATAATTTTTTTTTAATTGCATTGCATGTATATTCCAGAATAAAAACAAATACATTATATCAACCAATGGTAAAAAAATTGATCATTATGGTTATTGATGCATTGAGATGGGATTTTATAACAGGATCAGTGGGAAAGGTTGCAATGCATGTAACCAGTAGCCTCTTAGCAAATTCTTCAGCTTGTTTATTACAAGCCAAAGTACAGCCCCCAACTGTTACAATGCCTAGAATAAAGGTGTCAAATTTTTAGTCTTTTATATTCTAAAAGTTAAAAAAATATAAACAGGATAACATTTTATTCAACTTAGGCAATTACCACTGGTACAATACCAAATTTCATTGATGTTGCTTTAAATTTTGGGAGTAAACCAATTTCTAGCGATAGTGTACTTTATCAAGCAAAACAGGCTGGTTATAAATCAGTATTTTATGGAGATGACACTTGGGTCACATTATTTCCCTCTATATTTGATCGTTACGATGGTACTACATCATTTGTTGTAACAGATTTTACAGAGGTATTTTACACTTTTATCATCATTAAACTGTTATATAGTAATTGCACTGTCACACATAGTAAAACTCTTAAATTTAGGTTGATAATAATGTGACTAGGCATTTAGGTAAAGAATTATATAGTAACAATGACTGGTCTGTAATGATCCTTCATTATCTAGGACTTGACCATATTGGTCATGTTCATGGACCATTCAGTTCACTCATTAAAACTAAACTTAAAGAAATGGATGGTATAATTGCAAGGATTCAATCTAAGGTTCAAGAATGGGTAGGTGCATTCAAAAAGTTTCTCTTGTTGCTAATGAAAAGAAACATTATTTATTTTTTACCTTTGAAAAAGTAGTGTAAATTTCTTATCTGCAGAATCGAAATAATGATTCTACTTTATTTATTATTTGTGGGGATCATGGTATGAAAGATTCTGGTGGTCATGGTGGTTCAACAACATCAGAGACGCTTGTACCTTTCATTGCAATTGGTGGAGAATGTCTTCAAAATCCCAACAATTTCAGAGAAATATCACAAGTAGATATTGCATCCACTTTGTCTGTTATCTTGGGAATACCAATACCATTTTCCAACATAGGAACTGTCTTTGTAGACAGTATATACGATTTGCCTATTGCAAAAAGATTATTCATACTTTATTACAATGCAAAACAAGTGTTGACTCATTTCCAACAGCTAGTTGACTATAAGTCTCAATGTAAGTAAAGTGGTGATTCTTTGAACTATATGAGATAATTCTTTGAACAATATGACACACTTGCATATCATTCCAGATGCATATCAGAAATATTTGGAGGCAATAAAGCTTCATAATGCATGGTTGAACACTAAAGATCATCCAAATGACATGACAGATGATATTGTGTCTTCCTATCAAACTGCACTAAAGGGAATGAAAGAAATGCTCATAAATAGTGCAGTAAAATATGATTTCCAGTTAATAACAGTAGCCATATTTTTCTTGAGTCATGTAAGAATCAGAATTTACTTTGATAATTGGTTATTTTAAATTGTGCCTGTAGAATAGTTTAACAATTCTTTCAGATTATTTACATTCTAATGGGGAAAGTATTCTCTCAATCAGTTTCCTTAAAAAATCTCACATTTTTCATTGTTTCAAATATACTGTCTTGGATATTGGTAAATTATTTCTGGAGTTGTGAAGACATATCATTACTCCAGTCAAAGAGCTCGATCACCATTGTCATAGTATCATGTATAATAATTGTATCAATTATAAATTCTTACTTACTTGCCAGCATAAAAGATTTCAACTTTCTTTCATTCGAGGTAAAAGCAACACAATGTAAAACAAACTTAAAAATTCGATACACGTGGTAATATGTTCCTTTCGAAAAATTAGAAAACTGAAAATTGGATAGGAAAGTGGCTGCTTGTATTTGGTGCACTTGTGCATACAATTAGCCTTGGTGGTAGTAGCTTCGTGGAGGAAGAACATCAAACTTGGTATTTCTATTGGGCCACAATCCTTGTACTCTTACTCTACAACTCGATTACCAAATTTTTTTTACATCTACGATCGTAAGAACAATTTTTTCACAGTACGAAATACTAGATCACCGAAGAGACGTTAAGCTGCGAATATTAAATTTCAGCCACAAAAATTACCAACAATACGTACAGGCGCAAATTTGTATCAAACTTTTGTTGCTACTGATAGGACATAGAATTCTTCGAAAATTAAACAGCACAGGAGATAAATACGCTCATCTTCCCGATATAGCCGGTTTTTTAATTGAAGAAGAAACCACGTTGGGCATGACGATTGTGCTCATTACCGGTAATTAAATTATAAATTAACACTCACGTGTTCACAATATGAATACCTACTTCAAGTGTCTGAAACCATTCCCTCAGGTCTTGCACTCTTGATATGGATCGACTTTATTCACGAGGATAAAAAGTACAAACAACAGTCGTTAATATTGAATTCCATAGCTAGTACGTGTATTTATCTTCGTCATATGTGTAACAATAACGTTATCAAAATACCATTTTACCCTCAATCTAGGTAAGCTTCCATCGAGAAACCGAACAGATACCTTAAAATTGCAATTTCAACGTTGATTCTTTTTACAGAGGTACATACGAAGTACAAATTTATTTGTTTCTACTCGCAATAAATACTCTGAATTATGTTTATCGTTTGGCAGTGACGATCAGATACAATAGGATAATCTTTTTAAGAATTACATTGCATTTTATCGTACGAATGTGGATCATGATCACAGCGATCCTCCATCAACCCCATAATCTCATACTTTTGCCGTTCGAGATTATTTTCAGTAGTGTAATTCGCGAGATAGTTAAAAGCGACGTTGCGCAAGATATCAACACGTTTCTGTATGCTTGGATTGGCAATATGTTTTACTTCTACCAGGTAATAATCGAATATTCAGGCAAACCAAGCTCGAATCTCATACGTGAAATTAATCGTCTACAGGGGAATTCTAACAGTTTAGCGACTATTGATGTGGCCGCCGGTTATGTCGTTATACAGTCGTATATGCCATTTATAAACGGTTCAATGTTGCTAACTATTACCTATTCGGCACCGGTTCTGGCTTACCTTTTGTTCGTTTATCATGCAATTTTGCAGCATCCTTACGAGTGAGTAGTTTCTAAAATTTCAATTCAGCTGTTGAAATTCCTGAAAGAAATTATGTATACACGTTGTATTTTTTTTTTTTTTTTTTTTTTCTAGTACACAAGAGATCGTTTCACAAATTAGCAAAACATATGTTACTTGGAGATTGCTGCCTGTAGCTATTTACACGATTATAATCAGTATTCAGCGGCATCATTTATTCGTGTGGTCAGTATTCTCGCCGAAATTATTATACGAGGCTGTACATTCCAGTATTATCTGTTTCGTCACGTTTATCGTGTTAATTTTGATCACATTACAAAGGACAATAAACGATTGTAAAAGATGATCTTACATTTTTTGTGCAGTTTCTTCCACCAGAACGCCATGTTTTCTTTGATATTTGAAATTAGTTATCGGAAGTACTTATTCTTTTTCTTTTTAATCGACAATTTGTATAATTCTAGTCGCTCGTTTAAATGGAAAGTTTGCAACGAAAAAGGAATAAAAGTAATGTGAAATTTAAAGAAAAAATTTATTTTAAACTTGGCAATTATTTTACAGTCGTTATATTTTAACCAAACTTTCGAATACTTTCTATAAAAATCAAACATATAAAAGTTGTGTTGTTGTTTTGTTTTTAGTAATATACATAAAACAGTAATGTTGTAAAAATTGTTTGTTTCTTTTTCTTCTTCTACAAATTGAAATTATACATCGATGTAACGAAGCACAGATTTCAAATGAACTATACACACGTTCGACATTGAACTACGTATAGTTCTGTAATAATATTATAACGTATACGTAAAAGAGAAAATCAGTTCCTATAAAATTGACTGAATAAAATCAGGGCTAAAAGTTTCTTTTAGCAGAAATTACATAAATCCGTAATACCTCGTATACTAGAATGGTCTTTCATTTTTAGGTATTAACTTTTTTCACTCTACCGGCTAACTGCAAAATTATAGTGGTTGACAAAGCCACTTGGTTTGAAACATTCGCGCAGAAATAATGCTTGCAAACGATATAACCGTAGTCATGCAATACAGACATTCTAAGAAACTTGATTAAAAACAGTATTCCTTTTGATTACTAAAAATAAATTATTCTCTATAGGAACACAACAAAATACATATTTACTACGAATAATACTAGACTTGTTAAATCTAGGTAGCAGTAATATTTCAACATTTCGTGTCGTACATTCTTTTATCCTTGTTGTTATTTAATCAACGAAAATCCAAATATCGCAGAATAATTCGGGAAATTAGCCTGTAGCTTTCGATCCGTACAAATTGCATTTAAGTTTGAATTGAAATTGTTCGATACCATCTAAAATTGAATAATTCGACTTTCTTTTTTGCAAGAAGTTTGAGATTTCGAGAAGTTAAATATCAACAAGATAAAAATCAAAATATTGCACAGTATTTATGTACAACATTTGCAATTCGAAACGAAACACATTGTATGATATTAGCCTGCAACAGTGGGTGCCACCTCGGCGACACGTTAATTTCTAAAATATAAAATACCGTATCGTTTCGTATTATACAAAAATATAAACACTTTGACATTAAGTTATCGAATTATGAAAACAATTATACACATTTCAAAACTGCTCGCGTTTTCAATACTAATTTCAATTGTTACACCGCGAGGCCGTGTAAAAATTTGCCCCCTGGATAAGATTCATTTGATCGTTTCAGATAGAAGATTTCAAAACACCTTCAAAGCGTTAAACAATTTACAACTATCCGAATAAATTCGTATCGTAATGTGTGTATGTCTGTGTGTGTAACGTTACCTGTGTAAGATTACACTCTAGGTTAAACTGTTTTTGTTTTTCCCTTTTCTTTTCTTTTTTAATACATTTCAGGAAAAATAACTAATAAGTTAAAGATCTGGACAATTTTCACAGAAAAACTATAGTGTAATACAGTAACGGTATTATGCGAAATTTGAGTATTTTTGTATTCTTAACTTGTAATCCGTATATATATACATATCTTATCGTTATTTGGCTATTTTTACCTTCGCGTCCCTTTTGTATTGTTTCTTTGTTCTTTTATCGTATGTAGGATCAAAAATTCTTTAAAACGGCGAATTCATCCCAAGTTTTGTACCAAATTCTAACCGTGCCCTCTTTTGATACCTTACGTTTACTCTGAAAGTATTCGACGTTGTTAATTTAATTACTCGGCGAATGTTCGAAAATATTTCTATACTCACTTAATCTCTTGCCACTTGATCAGTTCGTTAATTGTGAAAATCAACGGCAACGAAACTAAGAAAAATAAAGGAAGGTGTAAGGGGAAGTCTTCGATGCTTTGCCCCTCCTCTTTCCAAAATTTGCAAAATACAGTTCCTGAGAATGCTGCTTGTGCGCATAATCTAGAAGCGACAAAATACAGTAGGGATATGTAAATTACACAGGCGTACGTTTGAAGAGGAAGAGAATAAAAGATGTGCTATACTCACGCTATAAATGCACTTAAAAACCATACGTAATTATTAAAAGGCTGTTTCTTCCAAATGGAATACTCTCTATGTACAAAGCCTACGGATATTGTTACTGTGCAAGAAGAAGAGAAATATATGAAATATGTTTGAATACACTACCGAGTCGTATAATTGGCTTAAATAAATGATTATCAAAAAAAAAAAAAAAAAAAACACACTAAGGAATAATGGAGTTTTGTTTTTTGTTACCTAAGTGTAAGACTAACAACGATAAGGCGAAATGTTGTATCACTAAAATGACGTTCGGTTTATTGCCCCAACCACCCCATGAAACTTCCCCATGTGCATCGGGATACACATACAGGCACTTAGAGTCTGTTGTGTAAGTAGGGCACAGAGTTAAAAATGAGAGACACTGCGATAAAACTATCGTGATTATTGTCGGCAGAAATTTGCTGCCGTAACACCATAGAACGAACAACGCAACCTATGAAATCAACGACAATATATCACTTGGAAATACGAACCGTATGAGATTAGAGCA